GAAAATAAAATTTTAAGTTGTATTAAAGATGTTTTCTAAATTTTGTAAAAGTAACGTTATAGATAAAAGATACATTTTTTTAAATACTTTTGAATGAGAAAGGACGTTGTATAGGATGATAAAGATTCCTCCAAAATGTAAATGGATGAAAACAATGTGAATAGAGTCAAATACGTTGTAGAAAGATTGAGAAAATTAAACTTAAAAGTATATATGGTGCCGGGCGTGGTGGCGGAGGCAGGTGGATATCTCTGAGTTCGAGGCCAGCCTACATAGTGAGTTCCAGGACAGCTGGGGCTACAGGGAAACCCAGACAAATAATAATAATAATAATAATAATAATAATTCAGCAACATTAAAAAAAAAAAAAAGAAGGGAAAATCTGGGGCTGGAAAGATGGCTCATCTCTCTCTGCTCTTGCAGAAGATCTGGGTTCAATTCCCAGTACCCACATGGTGACTAGCAATTGTCCATAACTCCAGCTCCAGTGGAATTCAACTCCCTCTTCTGATCTCCATGGGCATTGCACAACATGGCTACACTTGCATACATGCAGACAATGCACTTATGCACATAAAATAAATAAAAAATAAAGAAGGGAAAATCTTCATACATGCATATCTTATATGTGTTATATATGTTTGGTCTTTTTGAGACAGGGTCTCCTTGTAACCCCAATTGGCCTGAACTCATTGTGACCAGACTGGCCTTGAACTCATAGAGATCCACCTCCTCTGCCTCCCAAGTGCTGGGACTAAAGGCCTGCGCCACCATGCCTAGCACATCCATGAATTTAAAGTAGCTTCAAAAATGAAAAACAGAAATGCTGAACTATCAACAAGCCCATTCTGAGTAGTGGAGTGGGGTGGTACCAAATTAGAGAACCTTTCTGTGTTACTTTTTGTAATACTAGATGCCTGTCTGTCCAACTTAAAACAACTAAATCCCAGCATCCTGTGCTTTCAAAGGGAGATGAGGTTATTTCTATAGGGAGACTGCTGCAAACCCTGTCAAGGCAAACATTTTACTAAACAGTACTAGTGTTTGACTTAAACTCTTGTCCAAGGTTAGAAGGACCAGATTAAAGTATTCTCTGATGGGCCCTTTTTATTTGTGTTATAAAATGCTATTGTATAGTTTTTGAGGTAAAATGTCTGAAAAGACTATTGCTCTGTGATCCTGTTTCTGAGGAGAGAAAGTGTGTATGTGCACGTGTGTGTGTGTGTGTGTGTGTGTGTATGCGAGAGAGAGAGAGAGAGAGAGAGAGAGAGAGAGAGAGAGAGAGATCACACACCTGGGCAAAGAAAGTGGGTTTGTTAACAGTGTTGGGTGGCTTTCTCTCGGTGATTGGATAAGGTAGTTTTTAGACTTTTCTTTAGCCTTCCTCACCAATGCTTTCCAGCATAAGCAGATACTAAATCTGATATGACTAAAACCAAACTCTACAGTTCCTTTTGTACACATAATCCATCGAGGACAC